AAGTAAGAAAAGAAGCTTGGCGACAGACTGACTAACTCCTGCATTGCATGTTCTCTACATCTCTCATAATTACAGGAAAATGGGTGTATCAATCAGATCTCCAGAAATTTCCTATCTTTCAAAGAAAAAGGAACGAGATAACATAAGAATATGAGAATGTAAAGCAGCTTACTTGAGGAGAATGCAAAATGGGTCATCTAATTGGCCTGAAAATCAGTTTGCCTTTTCTTTCTTCTCCACCCTTTCCCATGTTCCTCTTCTGAGTACTTCCATTGGAGGGAAAGTTTTGGGAAGGAAGAAGGGTGTTTGTTATTTAGGAAGGTGGGTGGACAAGTGCAATTATGACAAAAACAAAAGATAATGGAAAAGAAGGGGAGGGAAGCTCATACAAAATAAAGTGCATTAATGAGCTATAACTTTCTGGAGGGCTGGTGCACTTTGACTGTTTTTTTGACCACAAGATCCAACTAAGCTCATCATAACTAAACATTCAGGATTTTTTTTTTCCTCATTGAAGATCTTGGTTTTCGAAGAGTATTACATTTTTATCTTTATTTTTTTGTGTAAATATGAAAGGCCTAAACTTGAGAATATTTTCTCTTAGAGCCTATTTGTTTGTAGATTTTTAAGGAAGCGGCTGCTCCCCACTTTCCTGGGATTTTTTCTTTTTTTTGAAACATAACACAATCTTAAGAAAGGGGATCTGCTTTAGTCGACTAAACATACATTAGCACCATCTTGGAGAACATAAGCAACATTTTCTAAGGATAACAACTTCCCCACGAGAAGGCTACGACCAAAGAGAACAATATTGAGGCCAGATACCATAGAAATCACATTAGAAACAATAAAAGGGCGGACGTGCAATGATGATGAGGCCGTACAGCTACTTTGGATGAGATAATAGAAACAAGAAAAGAAAGCCTAACAAAAATTTTAATGTGATTTTATGCAGTAGTATGCCTTCTGCATTTGTCCTCAAAACAACTCTAGAGTTAGTTCAGGCGGTGGATTTTCTAACATTTGCTATTGATAAAGGACACAAATAGATTTTTTTTTTTTTTCATAATTTGAATTAAATCTCTGTTGAATTACATCTATGAACTTCTTAGTATCTAAATTAGAGACCATTGAACCTTTGGGGTACAATTCTGGCCAAAAAGGATAAAAAGCTAAAGGGTACATGTTATATAATACGGCAGCAGTAGCAATACAAGAAAATGATAAAAGGTGAAATTCAAAACTGCAACAGGCCATTTTCAGGCCTTTCTCTTCTTCTGCTGCCTTTGCATCTTCCTCCACTTCAGATAGATCTGGTATGACAACCCTGAGAAGACCATAATAACACAGCCCCATTGCTTTGTAGAAAGTGGATTGCCACTAAGAAGAGAAGACACCACAATGCTGACAAACTTGCGTGTTGTGGTAATAGTTGTGTTTGCAAGAGAGCCAAATCGGCTAATAGTTAGAAAGATGAAGTTCTGGCCCACAGCGCCACAGAGGCAATACAGGAAAATGTCCCATGCAGCCTCTGGGTGCTGCTTGCAGAACTGGACTGCCTCATAACCACTACCATGTGGCCAGCCAAACATGTAGATCAAGTTGTATATGGTACCCCATAAGTTCATTCCCAGCATAATACCCCAAGCTGTCGTCTGTGGGTACCTATGAAAAGTAAATATCATGTCATTGAGATACATAACATAGATTTTAAGTTTTTAACTATATCATCTAAAAAGCATACCAACTTGTTGAGAATTTTGTAAACCATGGAAGGTAAATCTGACAACAAAATTCTGCATATCAGAAGGAAATAACTAGAAGCAAAAGAAAAAGTACTCAACACTTAAACCATAGTACAATTCTCCTCAGCTTTGGCAAACCAGGCTAGCAAAAGATTCTAGAATCAGTCACTCTTTATTGCAAGCCCCAAATCTGTCCTATTCTACAGGACGGTTCGTATTATTGTTCCAAACATTATTCATTGCTACTTGAAGAAATGCAAAAGTGATGTTCTTTTCAAGCATCTGTTTGTGCATGCCAATGAGTGCAAGCAGCCAACAAAGAGAGAAGAGGTGGTGTATGGATACTAAGAAGCAAAATTCCTATGCAATTGCAAAACTGGTATTTTAGGTATCTAAACTAATTAAACGTCTCTAACACCTTTCCAGATAAATGAAGTTTTAGATGAACAATATTTCTCCATTCAAAGAACCACCACTGAGCTGTTACTCTCAAAAATATTCTTAGGGAATTGAATGGCAGAACAATACAAGGGAACTGCAATTTTATAATCCCATCCATGCATAACAAACCCTTGACAAAATATCTGAGCACCAATTAGAAATCACAAATGGTTTTCCAACACATACCTTGTGTTAATTGAATCCTGAGTGGCATTTGTAAATCCATCGAATGCAAGGTTCAAGAAACAAAGCCCATATCCAAGAGGGGCATTTGGATGCGCCAACTTGCTTATTGTTTTTGAGCTAGTCTGAAATAAGTCCATGAATGACATGAGAAAATATAGGAATCAGAACTAAAATTTCATAAACAATCATTGGCATTTAGTTATCTGGAGTTAGCTTATAAAGGAGAACAACCAAAATATTCATTTTTATCAGAAAAAAAAAAAAATGAAAGAATTGTTCTGTCAAACGATACAACTGCTACAATCTTTACCTTCAAAAGTGCAAATGTAGATACTCCACCAGCAACGAGGAAAGAACAAAGATACTCAGGAAAAGTGTATCGTATGCCATAAACCAGAGTGCCCATTAGCATGACTGAATACAGGAAATTAACATTACTTATCACTGACGACACATTAGAGGAAACTCTTAATTGAAAACTTAAACTACATCCATCTCCATTCAATAATGAAACATTGGCATGACCTATTGCCCAGTGTATGAAAACAAAAATAGAATCACCCACTGTGTTTGGGCTACAAATTTACTAGCCTTAGGCTGGTTCAATAGATTACAATGACAGCTGGTTTAATCACCTTGCAATATACAATTATCAACAAGTAGAAAAACAAAAAAGGAAATTAAGACCTAAGGGTTAGAAACTCAAAAGGGCTCCGTTAAACCATGATGACATAAAAAACTCCGCATTCTCATTGCAACATTACAACACAGTCCTTAAAGAATATCTCACCTGGAATCATTTTTGAGGATTTTGCCAGGACCTGCAAGTAAGAAGAAGATAAATTTAGAAAACTCATGTTTACATATGGGGACACAAAGGTATTTTGCCAGTTTTTAAAGTACTATATGTTCATCTCCATCTAATTTAGCCCCAAAATAGCAATTTAAGAAAGAAATATGCAAATTCGATGCTACATCATCGTAGTCAAATAATGTACCAAGGCTGGTAACATGATAGAGTACAAAATTTTTACACATGCCTGAGCTGGGTAGCTTATGTATTTCAATGCCTCTATACCCATTGCTGGACCAATTGTGTTTGTGATGCCAGCACTCCAGAAAGTCCACCAAGGAGCTCCACCACTGCTACTACTAGACCAAAGCTTTATCACTGTTCATTAGGCACAGCAACAGCTAAAATATTAGTCCACCATTCAACTGCATTCATTAAATTATAAGATAGAGGGCTCGAGCGAAACTCACTTATATAAGACCAAACTAAACAAACCACATTTTGCGCCAAGTTAAGAAATGCAAGGTGCTCAAACCTCTTCCCATCTAGACCAAATCGCTTGGTTGACCTAAGAGAAAAAAAAAAAAAAAATTCCTTTCTCAAAATTCATCGCAGTTCATGTAAATTCATATTCCAAGAAGCCAATCAATTTTTTCAGATTAAACCAAATGAAGATCCTCGATTCCTCGAAAACCAGATCAAACGAGGTAGCTCTAAATAAACAAGAATCAAGATAACGAAAAAAAAAAAATTATCGAAATTAAAATAATATAAATACATACAGAGTTTCTTGAAGAACGCCTTGATAAATGTAGGCAGACCAGATACCGACGACGCAGAATGCCAAAAGAAACACTCGCCGGAATCCGGCGCCATGAGCTTCCATTACGACGCCGTTCAGTAGCGGTTCTCCGCTAGGTTTTCGAAATTCAGTAGGTAGGCAGTGAAAACAGGGGAGGAGATCGGAGAGCAGAGAAGGAACGGGGGAAGTACGGAAACGAGGAATTTCGTTCAACGGCTAAATTACGCCTTTGTTTCCTTTGTTATAATAGGAAGTGGAGCGAAAATACGTGGGGAGTCCACGTGGCTGATTTCTATTGGACCCTTGACGTCGTTCCGCCCTGCCGATTGGTTACACAGACGCGGACCGCGTTTCTAACTCAACTTCAAGGTCACGTTGGACCGAAACCAATCACAACAAAACGTGTAAATTTAAATTATTAATTATTATTATTTCTTCTTTTTTTATGAGCAAAAGTATTTTCCATTTTTTTTTTCTTATTATAATTTTTTTCAATTTTGAGTGGCATGGAAGGCAAATCTCCTCGGATATCCATTCCACTTGCATCTTTACAACTTAAATCTAAGAGTTATATATATATATATATATATATATATTTGCTTCACTCAACGAAAAAATTATTGTTAGATTCGTTAACAAATTATTGATTTAATTTTTGTTGATATCAATTAGATTATAAATCTTTGGGAACATGATTCCCATCTTTGTTGCCTAACAAATTTATTTATTCGTAGTAGTTAAAGTGTTCTTGAATTAATTTTTGTGTAATTACTTAATAACATGTAGTTTCAACGTAAAGCAAATAAAAAATATATTTAATGGGAATCAAATCAAAGATTTTTTCATTTTATTAGAAGTTTAGGGGTGAGGGCTTTCTTTATACACACAAAAGTTTCATATTTTTTTTGAAATAGAATTTTATTTTTGGAGAGGTGAGTGATGTTGAGAGATATTTCACTTGTAAATGGTTTCTAGCTCCTGGAAGATAAGTGGGAGGGTTTAATCCTCCAACCATATGCAAGAGTTGTATTCTCCTTGAATTGGAATTTGATTGTTGGAAAGCTGAGTAAGGTTAAGTGACATTTTATTTGTAAATGGTTCCTAGCATCTAAAAGCTAGGTTTGTGGGTTTAATCTTGCACATGCAAATAAGAGTTTATATTGGTTTAATCTTCTACCTAAAATAAGAGGATCATAGTAAATTGAACTCTTAAATAAGGAGGTTTAAGGAGTAGTAGAGTGAATGAACTATTATAAATTATAGCTTGATCTCTTCTTCACTACCTTTTAATTTTATGTTTTCATATTGTTTGTATGAATTATTTTATTTACTTAATTAAAAAAAATGGTAAAAATTTAAAAGCTATTTAGGTTATATTTTAATATACTCAATTCACCCCCTCTTTAGTAATCCTTTGAGTATTCATTGATTAATTTGCCAAAAACCTAATATTTTAGTGGTAATCTCTTTTTTTGGTGCAAATAAATGATTATGAGTTTGAGTTACATAATGTATAAATAGAATGAGTTAAAGGATTGTAAATGATTGTTTTTTATTATAAAAACTAAGATGAAAAAAAAAAGAAAAAAAAGAAAGAGAAAAAAACATTGATTAATCTAGAGGCTTTAGAACTCCGTACTCCTATTAAATAATTCAAAAAATGAGCACAAACCAAATCAAAAGATTACTCAGACGTGAAGTCCATTTTCCAGATGGTAAAAACGCGAGGCCATGCAATCAAGCACTCTGATTTGCTTCTCAGAAGACATGCTAAAGCTCACATCACCAATCTCGTCCCTCTACCCATTTTTCCTGGTAAAAGGTCCGTATTTCTTCTAAAATTATCATGTTGAAATAAATTATTAAAAAAAAAATATTGACATAATTTGTTATCTTAAATTTTAATTTTTAAAATTTCATATAAATATAATAGTTATTTTTAACTTTTTGTTAAATTTTAAGAAGCATAATTTAATAGAATTTAATGACAACAATTAAATTTAAGTTAGCTTTTTAAAATTAAAAATTTAGGTCACAAATTGCTTTACAATTTCCTTTAATAGTAATTTATTTTAACTCAAAAATATTAAAAGGTAATTTACGCATTTGGCCGTTTTGTTTTATCAACAAATGAAAGCAAACTAAGGTACTCTAACCATACACAGTTGCCAATAAATTAAAAAATAAAAAACTCCAACCGTGCACAGATACATGTCAATAATCAATTAAATGATGCTCACAAATCACCCCCAATAACTCATTAATCATAAACAGCAATTATTGCAGTCCAAACGTGCCTATTTGTTGTCATCCTTGTACAAACGAAATTCCTTTAGAATGGAAAAATGAAAATCAAAGTAATTAACACTGATGGCGAATCTTAAAACATTCAAACTAACAATGTTGAATAATTAAGTCCTTAACTATTCACGCGGGCACAATGCTTCCTAACCTCGCCTTCTGTTCCTGTCTTAACTTCAATCCGTCCCATTCTCTCCATGGACAACCCAAATTCCCTGAAGAAATTCCCAACAGATCCCCGGAGCAGTTGGTTAATGATAGCCAACGAAGTAGGATTAGTGGTTAAAGCTTGGTCGGATACGAAAAGACCTCGTCGCTTGAGCAGAAGAGAATAGTAGCTTAGATCGAAGGTTTTCCTACTTCCAGGATCCATCTCAACTATGGTGGTATCATTAGGACTTCTACATTTGTTTGCTTTTAAATTAGCTGCATATTCACTATCCATACTTGGATCCACTTCACCAGGCACGCCGCTGAAATTGAACAGCCGTGCCTTTGCGAATGCTGAGCACTGGGCAATACCGATGGTATGAGCACCTGATTCATGTACAATTGGAGTCAATTTGGCCTAACCATGGCTTTATGTAAAATAATCATAAAAATTTTAAAAAATCAATAAAAATAAAGAAATTTAGAATCTAGCAAAAGATTAACTTCAACGGTTCAACCCCTAACACTTTAGCCCTTGTTTGGTATGGGAAAACATTAAGTAGGCTGTTGTCTGTTTAGACTAAAATAAGACAAAATAAAAAATAATAATGGAAAACCCCTCATCTCTCACTTCTCTTCAATTTTTGTCCTCCAAATAAGGAAACTTCTGCCCTCACTTCCCTTCTCTCCCCTCCAATCCCTCACCAAACAAGCTATAGAGCCTAAAATCATGTTTTAGAAAAACTAAAACTTTTTCAAAAAACTACATTTGGCCTAGTTTTAGATTTTGCAGTGGGAACAAGAAACAAGCACCTATATACAAACAAGTTCCATTGTATATTAATTTGAAAGAACAAAAAAACTGGGAAATGTGACTTTGATTTCCTAGAGTTAGCTTACCAGAGAGTAAGACCAAGTCTTTTATGTTTAGTCCTTTGTTGGCAAAACTAGTCTTTAGTTTCATGAAATTGTCAGATGGAGCTGGGATATCTTTTAAAGCCCTTGATTTTCTAGAGATCGAACCATCTCTGCGCCCAGTGGGAACTCTCCAGGATGGACCTCCCTAGTAAAACCAAATAAGAGAATATTTTGTAATACAAATTGCATTGAATCACCTAATTAAACTGATGGTTCTCTGCCAAAAGAAAAAAAAAACTAATTTGATTAGTCCTGCTGCTTACTGTGGCAACAATGGCATCTCTTGCAACCAAAGCAATGATATCTGCACAGGAGACGACTCCGGGGCATTCTGCTTCTAGTAAACTCTTTACTCTGTCAATGAAGTTAAACCCTCTAATTGATAAATTTGGAATGGACTTCTTTTCAACATCGTCACCTTCGCTAGTTGAATTCAGAAGCAAAGATGCATCACAACCCTGAAAATTTAGAAAGAAGATATAGATTCTCATTTGTAAAGGGAAAAAGAGAGTGAAAAAAATTAGATGGAATATATATATTAAGTACCATAACGAAGCAATCATGGAAGTGCATTCTGATGAGGGTTGCTGCTAGGGATGGAGCATTATGGATGTGTTTGTTAACAAAATTCTGCACAATCTTCTCAGCTTTTGGGCAGCTTTTGGAGTAAAAACCCAGTTGAAGTTGAGCTAGTGTGGGGATTGAGGAGGTCAAAAGACTCGAGATTATGAACCCAACAAAGGGAAGCCATCCGATTTTTATCATGTTGGAAAGGAAATCTGATGAAGAAGAGGAACTGGTGCTTTTATGAGGAAACTGCCTCAATTGGTGCTCCTCTTGGGTGTATCAAATGGGGCAATTTATATGTGTTTGATTCATATGAGCAGTAGGAGACATGAAAGTAAGGTATTTATGCTAACAAACACGTTACTCTATCTACTTGTAATCTTGCAGCATAAGTTAATCTTTAAGCTGGCTGCTATGGCTAAGAAAGAATAAAGAAAAACTATCATATATACTTCAAGAATCCAATTTTTCACTCTGAACCGCTAACTTTAACGATTCCTTTGTATTCAATAAAATGTGCAGCTGAACCGGACATTTAGGCCCAATTGTTCCACCTCAAACTTTAAGTGTTTTGGTGAGGTGGTCGGAGTTTCGAACTCTACCACCGTCGTAAACTCTGCTAAAAAGTGGTCTGATGGATGTGCGCCTCATTTGATGAGGTAAAATATTCACCCGGTCTAAAGACCAGTTGCTAACAACTAAATCATATTAACTTCCTAACCATTACCCTTATAAAAAAAAAAAAAAAATTGTGCAGCTATGGTTAAATAATAATAATAATAATAATAATAATTTTTGACAACTACCATTTAAACATGCATGGAGGATTGAAGAGAAAGAAAAGGTGCATTTTCCAGAAGCGACAATTAATCATAAACGATAATGTCATCATAAAATATAAATTATTTTAATTAAATGATTATAAATATTAGAACAATATTGAAAAAAATAATCTAATAATACAATAATTGACCCAATCGTAGAAAAAAGAAAATACCACACCCCATGAATAGGTTGTTTGTATTATAATTTCATTAATAAAAGGTTTTTATTTAGTTATTATCATGAAATTTTTACACAACAAATGTTTCCTCACTATAGAAAATTTTTAATTAATTATTGTATTATTTTCTTTTATTATGTATACCTAACTTTATAAATAAAGTTGTTCATATATAAGAAAAGAAATAAAAAGAAATAAACAAACAAAACCTATTAAAATTTTTGTACTGTAAACTATGAGACCTTGATACATTATGACATCCTAGTACTATCCTAATGTTTTATCTTGCTTTTTCACTTATCTTTTATTTTGTTTATCTTATTGTTATGTTATGTTATCATAAAATTTTTACATATCAAATATTTCCTCACTATATTGGAAGTTTCTACACAAACCAAGTTGCGAGAATACAAGATAGGCCAATGATTAGTACACCCTCTGGTTCAAGACCCAGTTTAACACTATCCAGTTTAGTCATTAAAAATTCACTATTTTTTATTCTAAAATTAAAAACATATAAGTATAATGATATAATTATGCACATAAGATACAAGAACATGTTGAATTGACTGTATTTATATTATATTTTTAATGATTAAACCAAAAGGTGTTGAGTTGGATATTGAACCGGTAGGTGTATCAATCATTTCCCTACAAGATATGCAACAATTGAGGGGCAAAATCAGTGGCAAAGCCAGGATTTAATATGATGAGGGGCCAAATTTCTTTTGTAAATTCTCAATCAAACTAACACCTAACACCTAAAATATTTATTCATTATTTTTAAGTTAAAAAGTGAAGAGTAATTGTAAATTTGGGTATGCTTAATGCTAAACATATACCGTCTCCTGAGATTGTTAGTGGCTAAAACTTGTTTAGTTGTATTTATAAAACTTATAAAAAAAATGTAAAAATTATAGAAAACGCGCAACATGACTTGAAATTTATGGCAACTTTATAAGTGACCTATCTAAAATGGTAGAGGCAGAGGAGCAAAGTAAATGTAGAAAATTGAATACCATCCCACCTAATCCCATGGGGGGGGTGGACGGGACAATTTGCAAATATTCGTGAAATTAAATTAATTAGGAGGTCTAGACACAAGTTATCCCAAAAAATAAAATAGAGAGTGGAATAAAAGTTACTCCCTCGTTCAACTTTACTATTTTTCCTTAATTAAATAGGGAAGTAATAGTTAATTAATATAATTTCATATTTATCCCTATTTAATCATTACCTAAGTGTGCTTATATAATTTATAATGGTGTATATGTTTATCTTTTTAAAATGACGGTCCGTAAAATAAAAATAAAACCATTAAATGATATTTTTAAATAAAAAGGCACATAATTAAATTTAAACATTACAAATTAAAATATAGGACAACTAGAGTTGATCAAGAGAGTTCTATCCCATGGTCATACCAGCTGCGAGGTTGGACAAAAATGATTCTCCATCCCATCCTTTACCTTTCTTTTTTAGTACAATGGGAGATTTTTATGCACTAATTGTTAGGTTTCTTAATGAATTATGATGATGTGTTAAAATTATTATTTATTGGTATTTGACGAGTTTTATTTTAAGTATATAGGTAAGTTAATCGAAGGGTTCTAAACTTTTTTCAAAATTAGAATAAGAGTTTAATTAACTCCTATCTTCCTTGATCACAGTTTCAGATTTGAATCAATATAAATCAATTCAAATCGATCCAACACAATAGAATTTATAGTTTTTTTTTTTTCATAAGTGGTTCAAATCAATATTTTTAAGTTCGAATTAAAAATTCTAGAAGATAATTTTAAAAGCTCAGAAAGATGAAGAATAAAGTGGAGACTTATTGCAACACAAAACCTCATTGAAAAAGGCAAGTGGCTTCATCTTCTAGCTAGGACACGTTTTGCCATTTCAAATCTAAGAGAGCAAGAGTAAACTTTCAAATTTTCTAGACCTGGTAAGTTTGAATTCTTGACTAGTATTAGTCATTTTCTAAGCTTTGCTAGAGGTTTTGTGAGCTTAATTGTTCCCCTTTCTTGAGAAATTTCTTTGGTGGTTTTCTTTGTACATATAAGGGGTTTTGTATTATCCTTGAATCAAAATTTGATTCTTGAAGAGGTGAGTGAGGTTGAAAGATACTTTAGTCGTAAATAGTTCCAAGCACCTAGAAGTTAGATTTGAGAGGGTTTAATCTTACACCTACAAGCAAGAATTTGTATCGATTTAATTTTACACTTGTAAACAAAATGAACTTAGTGGATTGAACTCTCAAGCGAGGAGGCTTGGGGACTGGAGACATACTCCAAAGTGGAGGAACCATTATAAATCATAGTTTGATCTCTTCTATGCCTGCTTTTAATCGTTTGTTTTTATATTGCTTGTGTGGTTTTTTTATTGCTTAATTAAAATGAAAATTTGGGTAAAAATTAAAAGTTATTCAAGTTCTATTTTAATACCTAATTCTCCTCTCTTGGGGAAGCCTTTCAGTTTTTACTAATTAATTTGCCAACAATCTAAATAGTTCAATAATAATATATTCTTTAATGAAAATAATAAAAAGTTTCAAATTCAAATCATATAACATGCAAGTAATTGGGTGAAGCACTGTTTAAAAAATTGAACTAGATTGGTCGGTTGAATCTATTGGACCAACACCTGGTAGTAGAAACGAGTCGGGTGAATATGTAAAACCATTTAGACAATTGAACCATTCAAAACCACTCAAACCATCCAATCGGCCGGGCTAACTTTTTGGACGAAATTCTCCTAAAATTGTCTCCTCTAGGTTTGGAACACCGAACCTAATGAGAGGTTAACAAGCCATTTGCCACTAGAACATCTAGTGTGTTGTGAAATATGTTGCAAAGAATATGTTGCAAAGAATATTACAAGAATTTTAGAGGAAAATTGACTTCCTTTGGATTTGAACATGAAGCTCTTGAATGTTTTAAATGATTCCTGCCACTTGATCAAAAGCAAGTTTGTTATCTCTTGATGCATTAAAATATATTTATTATAATGGAATTACGTAAATTGAATAAATAACATACGGAAGACTCAAACTCTGGTTCTCCTTAACATAGATATGGATTCCTAACCACTAGAATCACTACTAATTCTTAAAAAGAAGTTGCATTATATTATATTTAATGTATACATTCAAAATTCAATCAACCTAATTTTTCAATT